AGTTTTACAAGAATGTACGCAATTTTACTTACTCTCCACCAGATTTTTGAAAATAATATTGGGATGAAATTTGACTCGTTTATTAATCGCTTTTATTTGATGCTATCGTCTCATCATCCCTTGTGGTCTGGTGTGTGACGAAATCTCAGCAGGGATACAGAAGGCTCGACTAGCTTTTACCAACTTGCGTCATTTATGGCGTAGACGAGATATCCGTCTATCAACCAAAGGACGAGTTTACTGCGCAGCAGTTCGTCCCGTCCCACTTTATGACAGTGAAACATGGCCGGTAAGAGTAGAGGATATCCGTAGGTTACTAGTATTCGATCATAGGTGTCTTCGAAATATTGCTCGTATATCCTAGGACCATCGAGTAAGTAATGCAGTTGTTAGAAAACGGGTACTACGATGGCAAATCAATTGATGACGTAGTGAAACTTCATCAGTTGAGATGGCTGGGACATGTGTTACGTATGCCCAACCATCGACTGCCTCGATGTGCGATGTTCGATGGTGCAGGAGTAGATTGGAAGAAAGCTAGGAGCGGTCAGACCAAAACATGGCCCAAATCCATGAAGTCACTGACAAGTGGACTGAGTCATATTGGTAAGTGTAGACTATCTGGTTGGGATCCGCGAGACGATAGCAACCGATGATTAGAGACCTTGAATGACATGGCTCAAAATCGTTTGTAATGGGCTAGGTGCATCCACTCTTTGTGTTCTCCCGAATTATAATCTTCTGAATTCCTCGTGTCCCGTTTTTCTGTTTCCAAATTTATTTCACTGGACTGTACTCTTTGAATAATATCGTCAAACCCTGATCTTTGCCATGATTGCTTATACTTTTAATACCTCTACCACTATGGGATTTGAATCGACAACTGTATCTCTGTGCTAATGTGGTATGGCAACTTGAACTGATGTACGTACGTACGTACGTACGCACGAAGTTCTATGTTGTTACTTACTGATTGAATAACACCATTCTATCATTCTATTCTAGCATTTATTCTACAAGCTGAAAATCTTAAATTCCTTAGTACGAAATTAGATAAATTGATATATATGATATTTTTCTCACTAAAATTCTTAAAACATGGGGGAAAAAGTTACTTAAAATATCTTACTTATTCATCATCAGTAATTAATAGTCTTAAAATTAATACTAAAAAAACTTATACCTGTACACAGCAAAGCGCAAGTAACATTTGACTGGATGAGAAGATCATTTATGGATGACTTACTTAAGTAACTTGGAGTATATCCATCTACATACATCGGAGGAAAGGATGGTTATAAATTAGTGTAATGAACTTGGATTATGATTAATAATTTGATTATTATGATTATGGTTTACATCATGAACTGGCATCAGTTACAATGCCAAAATGCTACTTGACCATATAGATGAATGGATTCCGCGCCAAAACTCAAAACCTACTATCTTAAATCTGATTGGTTCATTCATCAATTATAGTCTCATTTATCACTCAGCTTATTGACTCAGCTATTTATGCCAAGTACGTGAATATTAAAATGATAATAATTCTAGTTAACGATTTTACTGTAATCAGATAGGGTTTTTTGGATGGTATAGTAATTTAATAGTTGAATTCATGAGTCAATTGAAGCTAGACCACCATAAAAGACCTGGCAGCACTGGATGACCGTGTCGTCCTATTATGGGACTCCTCAGTGACAGTGCGTATCCACGATCTCGCCCCCCGCTAGAGTCGAACCCAGGACCTATCGATCTCGTGCGCGAATACTTAACCACAAGACCACCGAAACGGCCGGTATCCAACAGTGTTAATGTCTAACTTCAACCAATTCATGGAGATACACCATCGTCCACCATTATCATTAGTGAGTTACGATCTCACAACTGTAGTCTAGTCATTATGATCTTACGATTATATCACATTTCTCAAGAAATTATCCAAGTGTAAAATTCCTTTCTTTTCGACTTGGAATGAATTAAAGAAATCTTTAGATTTTATAAAAACCAAGGAAAGACAACACAAAAATCGAATTTACCTATCATTATTATGGTGGACGGTGGCGCAATTTCGTGGATTGGTTGAAGTTAGACATTAACACCGTTGGATGCAGCCGGATCAGTGGTCTAATGGTTAAGCGTTCGCACGCGAGACTGACAGATCCTTGGTTCGAATCTCTCCGGGGCGGGATCGTGGATGCTCGCTGCTATTGAGGTAACCCATACTGTGACGAAACGACCATCCAGTGCTTTCAAGTTTTCCATAGTGGTCTAGTTTCAATTGACTCATGATTTCAACTATTAAAATTACTAAAATCTCGACAAAACCCCTTCTGATATTATTATTGGATACATGACCCAATTTGTTGACATTTAATACGGATACATAGAAATATGTAAAAAACAAAGACAATGTTTACCTTTTAAGAACCTAATCAATATTCAAATTATTGATTATCTATGCATATGTATATGAGCAAGTGGAGGTTAATAATTTGATATGAATAGACTTTACACTTATGAAAATGATTTTTTTCACAAGAATATTTATCATACCGTTATTTTGATTATACATTGTAATAATAATCGATAATTGAATGATTGGAGCGTTGGATACTAAGTCTTTCTATAAAAAGATAAAAGTACCACACTGTACTTTAGTTTAATTGATTGACTTGAGCACTTATAGTTTTGAAAACTTAATCGGACTATATTGGCTGAAGTATTTGTATCTTTAAAGTTTTACTATGTCAGATAGGTAGGTTGGTGGATGATTAAATCAGAAGACATAACTTAGGTGTTTCTTATGAATAGTCAGCCTCTGCAGTGACGTTATATCTTCAACAAAGAAGGGACGTTTAGATGTTGGAACTAAAGTTAGCGTACCTCTGTTTATCGCATAAATTTCCGTCACTAGCTAGTAAAGCTCTTAAAATAACAAGATAACATTGCCAAGAAACACTTCGTCAACTGATTTTGACCTTCTATCAAGAACTATGACGTACATAATTGTTATCGACGGTACATTTGTCTAGATATGTTAAATATTACATACTAGAAATCAGTGTACATTTCTGGATTCAGAACATATCAATGTATCATTTAGATGTTAATAGTCATACAAGAAATTATTAGTAGTGTATAATGCTTACAGATTATAAATTAATAATGTGAAACATGAACTTTCTGTCTACCCTAGACTATCAGATATATATCAATGTTAGCCAGAAATTCATATTGCACAGCCCAGTTACACTACCAAAATATAAGTATATAAGTATGCAGTCTTCCATATTTTTCAAGATTCAGTAAAGAAATTCTTTTACGGACCCACAATATGAGTAAAGTTAATGCTTCTATATGAGATGACAAAATGATCAGAACTTACAACAGGAAACCATGGTACAAACTTGTTGTCATCTGTAAGAGTGAATTTGTCTAGTGTATCAAAAACTCCATAAAAGTTTGTTTTTCACAAAAATACACAGCTAGATCTGCATGTACTGTTAGATATTAGTGAAATAAACATTTTGAAATGAACTACATGAGGTAAGTTTAATTTATGCAATGTGAATGAAAATCACATAATACACCAAAGGAATGATGAACACTTCACGTGTCTATTAACTGGACGGAGTAAAAACCAAAGCTGTGATATATCAGATAATACCTTAAGGAAAACTAAAGCCATGGTGATGGCATGCCAATTATTTGATGTTCATAGGAAATTCGGAGATAGTTACTTTCTTATTCCGAACGGTACGTTAGGTCACCTAAGACTCATAATTGAGTACTATTATTTCACGTACATAAACATCGTATCTATAGCTGTTTCCCAAGAAAATTCAGTAGCTATTTTGGGTTAGTCAAATGTTTTGAGAATTCACTAGGTCACTTTGTCTACTTAAGACAATCGCATATGGTAACAGAATATAGATACCTATAGTAGCTTATAAACGAGTGAGGACGTAATCAACCCGACCTAAATCCCAAGGAATCGTCAACATATAAAAAACGAACGAGTGTAGAGTACTTGTTCTCATTTTACAGTTTTTGTGAATAATAATAAATATATTTTTTGTTATATTCTAATGAGTAGGAAAATTATATTTCTGAAGTTCCGTGATTTAATATAGGCCACTTCTTCAGAACAAATATGTGGATGTCTTTTTCAGCGGGATAATTTGTACAGAACTTGAAACCTTATTTATTCAATTCTCTGAAAATATTCATAAATTATACGATCGCCAAACAATATAGATACAAGTACAAACTGTACATGATAGTCGAAAAGATTTGTTGTAAACATTGGAAACATAATTAAAGCAGATACATTCACTCTTTTTCTTTTCCTACATTCAGTTTTTAATTTATACTTTTTTATATCCTGCAATTCCATTCTTTCTCCTCGAATCATATTATCTATCGTTAGTATCCTTTCTACTGCCAAACAATACTGCTCATACTTTTCACAATTGATTTATCATCGGGTGGTGACCAATGTCATATGTGTAAAGTCCTTCTTAGTGCAGAACGAATGCTATTGACCACTAGTCTAGATGACTCAACAGTACGTACACTATGTTGAGATAAGATGGTGGTTGGAGGTAGTCAACAGGAAACCCTGGAAACAGGTTTCGTGCTATTTAGCACTCATCGGAAAGGTGTACCTGTAACCTTGAGGGAACTGGTGCTCCCTGACGGATTCGAACCCGTGTCACCCAGCTTTACAGTCAGAGACGTTACCACTGGGCTATCCGGGCAACGACCGACTCCCTGTCGGACTGAGATGCATTCACAATTGATTGATCACTGGGTAGTGATCAATATCATGTGTGTAAAGTCCTTCTTAGTGAAGATCGAATGCTATCGACCACGTTTTAATGTGGCCACTAGTCAAGGTGACTCGAAATTGTTCATACTTTTACTACATAGGAATTTATTCTCAACTGATGGACATATGTGTACTTGATTCTGACTGACTAGAAAAAATAACTGAGTCAAGAAAAGAAATAAGTGTATTCACAAGTGAAAAACATATGATATGGATTAAAATCATCAACATTAACCAATTACAAAATAGCGAACAATATAATTATCTTAAAATGGATAAGTCTAAATCAAAACAAAACCAAAAAGAGGGACTGAAAAAAACAGGATAAATAAAATTATCCACACTTTTCTTTACAATGAACAGAATGAGTGAGGGTACTTTCTTCTACTCTTGTAATTGTTATATAAATGTATATGGGAAAAAATGTTGTGATACTTATATGAATAGATCTCGTGGAATTGTACATAGGATAGGAAAATCTGAAAATGAATCACAAACACACCACGTTATATCATTTAAGATAAGTTTGGCTTGAATGGGTGGCAGCAATCGTAAACAGTTGTTGATTAGGAGACGTAGCGCTAGAAAGATTTACTGTTTAAAAATCCTTCGAGGAAAAATACCTTGGTGTTATGGTTTCTCGATTGATTTGTGAATGACTGGGAAGAAAAGAAAAAAATAAACATACATATTCTCAGATATGTTGAACAAACTGAAGGTATTCACAAGACGATAGGGCTTTTATAGTAACCAAATAAAAGCCTTAATTACAAACGGATTGTGAAGTTGATGAACACAAAGATTAGATGGTAAAACTAGGAGTGGATTACAAGTTAAGTCAATTTGAAAAGAAAGTTGGATCTTGAGCTGAACCTCAGGCTACCACATATACTCATATCAGCTGGTTAGGATCAACTTAAAGCTTGGGACAAATGTGAGTGGGCCTAAGTTTTCATACCATGTTAGCACGAGATAAAATTAACAAGATGAGTGGTGAACCAATAGAAACAATTTAGTACCAATCATAATAAGAACGACCAAGCACTAAGGTCAGGAATTAAATTTGAAATATTAGGGAGTTAGTCTCGAGGCAGTAAGTGTGATCAAAATACAAGTCTGAAAGTCACATCATATAATTCTAGCTAGTACTTTACCGATGTCATAAAAAAAGCGTATCCCATCTCATCGACCTTATTTCGTAAATCCGGATGTTATGATTGGTTTTCACAAACAAAAATGTCCCGTTCAAAGACAAATACATCGACCTAAACTTGGTAAAAAATAAATTGCATTTACACTATACGTGTGCTATTAAATGATTCGATGAATCTCACGAAACTTCGGAATGGACCAGAGCATGAAATCACGATGATCCCAACTTGAATGACCAAAGATGGATTCAAGTTGCAACAAAATAATCCAGTTAATTTCATAAAATCGACTTTAATTTGACCGTAGATAATTTATTATGGAGGTTAAAAAATCTGACAAATAAAGGTATAATGAAAATTTAGACTAGATTTTGCGCCAGCTGGTAGTCATATCTGTATAGTATAAGTTCCTTCCAAGTCTTGGCAGGTAGAGGGCGTTACAAAACTTTTAAATTTAGGTTGCTCACCAAATGAGTCACAGTTCATTCAAATAATGGATCTTTATCCTTGATATGGAAAATTCTAAAATTTGAGTGAAAATAAATCATAACTTAAGAAAGGTTATTATCTTAGTAACATTAGGACCTTTGTGAAATAAAATGCCAACTTCAGAAAAACTAGTGTCATATCTATAGGCGATTGATTTAAACTGAACAAAAGCAATCAGATATAAATATATTTCAATAACCGTATGCATAAGTTCTTATCGGTTATGACTCAGCCATTCATACATTCAGTGATAGTAACCGACTATTACTCTGAATAGAACAGGTATTGAGTTGCATTAAGGTTTGAGAGTCAATCATATCAAACTATAAAACTTTATAGATGAAAGGTGACTTAAATCCGTTACCCTCTGTAGGTAGGATATTTATATCGATCAGCTAGTTTCGGTTGGACAATGTTATGTAACATTTCAAATAGGTTACAACCCGGTTACTGAGTGCCACACTTAATAATAAGTATTAAGGCTGTATAACAAGACTTGAAACTAAAAAGAGAAAAAAAGGAATTAAACGTACCGTCTTCCACTAGGTTCCCAGCAATACCAGCTGTACTGTTTAACACTGAATCGATATCTTGCGAATGCTCAAGAACGAACGGTCGAATCAAACGTCGATAAATAAGCAAGGATCCATTTTGTGAGATAGGAATCATGCAATAAATTAGGAAGGCACACTGCAAGGTGGAAAGAAATCAGGTTTGCGGGAGCTTTATTAGTAGTTACTGTTGTAAAAGAAGTTAACAAGCATTTAGAAATTCAAAATCTTTACATTAGACTATATCACTCTCACTTATCATTAGGAATCTTCTCATAAATAGTGTACCAGAATTCCGAAACGGTTTGTTCCATATATATATTCACGTTTCGATATACATAGTTGATAAATCTAACGACTATAATCTGTAAATCATGTTGATTTTTGAAAAAGTAAAGATTAGATGTGAATGAAATATAATTTCTATCAGGCTAATGTAGAGATGTAATAGTGAGACAGCCAGACACACGCCTGCCTAGTAAGTGGGTCTGTAATCTGTTTTTGCTTTAAATTCGTGTGCATACTGTTTGTACTAGTTTTAGCTAATGAAATGGACTGCCAAATGGAAAGATATTCAAATGTTGAAGAACCATCAACATTTGCGCTTGTTTCCGTGAGTTAAACGAAAGAAAAGCTAGGTAACCCAAAATATTACTTTTATTATGGGATATAACGGTAGGTAGTAGACCATCATTGCTGTACAGGCTTCGAAAAGTTGAACAGAAGCAAAAACAACCCAGTAGGTTAGCCATTTCGTATCGTCTTCTTTCTCGTGAGTTTCTATGGCTTTAACTCTAGAAGTAAACATAATTTGCAACCGAATACTCACGATTGATATGCTGGGTACAAAGCACCAACAAGTAGAGTAAGTATATCCGTCCCATAACCAATGACTAAATACAGCGTCAAAAACGCAATCACTCCTTTTTAATAACTAAGGATGTTGAACTTACCATATGCTAAATACAGTTTACTGATACCTGAACGTGTTTCACATACGCTTAGGAAATCAGTAACAACATTCTTCTTCTCCAAGTACTCAGAAAACCGTATCTGACAAGACCGTAACTTCTCCATCGCGCTATTGCAGAGTTAATGTACCGACAGTGTAATATAACTAAACTTCAAACTTTGTCAAACACTTCAATTTCAATATATTGACTGCGAATATGAAAACGGATATCTCTGAAATGAGTTTATAAGTCTTTGCTTTAAAAACGTTTCGGTGTACACGGTACTGTCTCACTAGCCTCATAGATGTCTCAGTTAACCGCACATGATAACAAGCAACACCAGTTCAACGGAGCCTATATATAAGTAGTGATTTTGAGATTTTGCATCATCTATAACAAGCAATTGATTCAACAGAAATATAATAAGAATCCCTAAAATTTACTCCAATTCTGTATTCCTGAGTTATAGACCTTTGCTCTTTGCATAGATACTCCCTCAGCCTAAGACAAGGTTTTTTAAGTGATACGGTAAATGAATCATCTCGTTGCAAGACGAATGATTCGCTTATTCTCCAAACCGAAATCGGTGGATAGTCATCTATAGCTATCCCATGTCACTTAGGTTTGCAGGAGTCAAGGTTATGACTCGATATGCTGTGTAGGGCCAGTGAAATGTCACTGGGCCCTAGTCAAATCATTCGTCTGTCGGGTCACTGGATATCTAACAGTTCATCGACCCTCTTCAAAGTCGACGACAATCGAGGCGCATCAATTGATTGCACGCCATGGACTAGCTCATGCAGCGGTGGTCGTACTCTGTTCTCTGCAACTTGTACTTTTGTAATAATGTTGTTTGTGTTATACTGTCGTCAATGTGGCCATAGTACGTGTATACGACGAAAGAGTAATCCACATTGGGTGCTGAACGTAAAATGTGAATTTGGCGTCAGTCATATGGTTACGCTATTCCCCTCTGACTCTATTAGGTCCCCAACCATTCGACATAGATCATCTGCGTTGGTACGAAAGATCTACGGCTGTTTGTCACTCGCTAAAATGTCTGATCACTTATTTATGGTGATTCGAAAAAATATTTTTCGTTATTAGGCGTTTACACGCGTCAGTATGGAAACCCTTGAGTAGTAACATCTGTTTTCTGCAGCGAAAAATCAGGGTACCTTCCTTGTTTTTATGTGTAAGTTTGGTGTTATACATAGTTATATTTCCAAAGGTTCCAGACCCGATCGAAATTTCTCACCTCTTGAGCCTGTCAACCCTCTTGGGTGTTGACTGCCGGCCATCTCCACGGAATTGTCTTCTACTGCTCTTCCCGTTTGTTCCCAAATTCTGTTCATGCTTTGAATATCCACATCCATTTCTCCATGCCACGTGCTCTCTGATGTGGAACTTTTCCTATCACCTTGAGGATCCCGAGTTACAGATTGTCCCTTGATATATATTGATAGTTTCCACAATGTATGCCATACCCAAATCAGCATGGACCTCTTCTAGGGCTATTGCTGGTCCCAAACCCGGATGAAGTAGGAGGTTCGGACATGGGGTTAGCGACCCCATCCTGTAGAAAACTAACCCGCTAAAAAAGCGCTAACAAGAAAAAATTATTTAAACCATTTAAACTCTACCCTGGGAGCCAGAAGGTCTTCATTTAGAAGAGTTATGACGCCCCATGGTGAAAGCCGAGTTCCTTTGGAAGTCCCGAGACTGATGCCCATTCTGAAAACCAGAGCAACAGTTAGTTTAGGTAAGTGGAATGTCCGTGCAATGTGTAAGGCCGGGAGAGTCATCCAAGTTGCTACAGAAACGAAAATATGCAATGTGGAGGTGCTTGGAATCAGTGAAACACATTGGACGAAGGTTGAACAACAAACGTATGTGCCTATAACAAACTATCCACAGGCGGCACTATATTCCCACATAAACGCATACACAAAGCCACACGGACTTAACCGATCTTGCTATACAGAATCAAATCTACTATATCTGCATCAATAAAAAGTTCGGAAGGATGATGGAGGACATTATAAACAAGAGAGGACCTGATATAACATCAGATCAACACTTGCTGGTCGCCAAGACGAAAGTGAAACTCAAAATGCATTAGTCGACGGAGGGACAACATCGCAAAAGTTTAATACGGTCTTTCTTCTAGATACTGACAGATCCAAGAAAATAAAGATTTACTGGAAGGAAGGACACCTCATCAGGATGCCATAGAAAGGAGATCCTTTAATGGATTAAATTGCAAAATCGTGCATGGAGGATAGCTCACAGACTCATTTGAAGTAAAGACTGGCGTCAGGCAAGGTTGCTTGCTCCCACTTTTTCTCTTTCCCCAGGTGATCGACCGGATCATAAAGACATAAACATTTAGTGGGGAGCATGGGATACAGTGGACATCTGGGATGCGACTGGACGATCCAGACTTCGCAACATGATATGGTTTTCTATCGCACACGCAACAACAAATGAAAGAGTAGACGACCTGTGTAGTAGCAGCCTCGGCAGCAGTAGGTCTCAATATACACAAAGGGAAAAGCAAGATTCTCTGATACAACACAGCATGCACCAATCGTATCACACTTGACGGAGAAGATTTGGAAGATGTGAAAACCTTCACGTATCTGGGCAGCATCATTGATGAACACGGTGGATCTGATGCAGATGTTAGGGAGCGGATCGGCAAGGTGAGAGCAGCATACTCACAACTGAAGACCATCTGAAACTCAAAACAACTGTCTGTCAACCAACACCAAGGTCAGACTTTTCAATACAAATGTCACGACAGTTTCGCTGTATGGGACGAAAAGCTGGAGAACTACGAAAGCCATCATCCAGAGGATACAAGTATTTACTTACAGTTGTCTATGCAAGATACTATCAGCAACATCCTACTGTGGGAAAGAACAAACCCAGTTCAAGGGGAGGAAGAAATCTGGAAGAAGCGTTTGAAGTGGATAGGACACATTGAAGAAAGCAACCAACTGCGCTATAAGGTAAGCCCTCACTTGTAATCCTTAGGATCAAAAAAGAAGAGGAGGACCAAAGGACACAATACGCCGAGAAATGGAGACAGACATTAGAATAATAAACAAAATGTGGATAGAACTAGAAAGGAAGGCCCGGAACAGAGTGGGTTGGAGAATGCTATTCGGTGGGCTATGCTATATTGGGAGTAACAGGCGTAAGTAAGATGTCATGCCCACGCCCAAGATCTTCCTCTAATCTCCTCTCCAGCTGAAAACTGGTCTGTTCTCTACCACAGTAGGTTATTACTGAGGGTATCCGACCAACGGATATTGAGTATCTTGCGAACATAAATGTGTATAAATACCCGTAAGTTTTCGATAATGGTCGCAGTGGTTCTACAAGTTACAGCTCTATACAAAAGAACTGCTTTAATTATAAGCTTGAAAATCTTATCCTCGGAGTCGTGTTACACTTTTATCGAGTCCTAGATATTATCCATTTATTTGATTGTCGCTCTTGATTCACTAGTTCCTACTTAAACATCCGTAGAAGTCCTCTTTGGATATCAATAGTGCTGCTTGGGTATATTACGGCTTCAGATTCTTCCAGAGCATCACCACCGAATGCAATGTGGTTGGATTTCACTGTACTGTATTTCAAGATCTGGCTTCCCTTGTGAACGGTGAAATATACTGCTACAAAGGCTATTCGTCACCCTAAGTGCCTTCATCTTAATTTGTTGCTGTGTATGGGATAGAAGAAGTAGATCATCTGTAAAATCCAAATCGTCCAGCTAGGTACAATGTATCCGCTGTATTTCTTGCTTATTCAGAGATGTACAGCCCATCATGATTTATCCCAGAACCAGTAAAGTATACAGTCTCGTCTGACAATAACCGTCATTCTGAATGACTTTGTAAATTGCTCTACATGAACGAATTTAAAGTGTCAGATGTTCATATGGTAGTGAAGACCTTCTCAGGTACTCTCTAATGCCTTGGAAGAATTCTATTCACTTTGTCGACTGCTTCTCGTAGCCGAGGAAGTTAGCACAGAGACGAGTGCTGTCCAGCAGATTTGATGGGTTCATGGTGGATCCTGACGAAAGTCATCTTGTTGGTTTCAAGGTCGGTCGTCTTCTAAACCTTTCACTCAATTCAAGAACACTCTGTTGAACACTGTTCGATACTGAATGTAGTGTGATATCTTTGTAGTTCTCGCATTTACCAAAACCTGTCATCGGCACCTTGATTATTCTCTTGGTACTAGTTCTTCCTGTCAAATCGTTCTGAAGAGAACTTGAAATATCTGCTGAGTTACTTCTGCTTTGCTTCAGTGCTTCAGTTGTTGCGTTGTCTGGTCATACTGATTTGTCACATTCATTTGTTTGGTGACATGTCCGACTCCGTCGATAGCTGGTTTGTCGACATTTATATAAGCGTCTGTGTATTCTGTTTCGATGTACTATGGATTCAGTGGAGCTAGTTTATTCAGAAGCCCTTTGAAGTATCCTACTGTCTATTCCTCTACCCTTAGATCTCAGTGATGGCTTTGCCCTACCTGTTGCTGACTAACAACTCTGGTTAACCAAATTTTCCAACGAGCTTCAGCGTTGTGTCGTGTAGCTACCTCATATTTCCTTCTATTTCAGCCTTTTTCGCCGTCATTCCCAAGTCTTCCATGTATTTCCACTTATCATCTCTAATACTCCTTTTCACTCGCTTGGATATTTATGTGCCTTCGATGTGTCCCTTGACTTTCTCTACATTTATTCGGCTATTGTTGATTGCCGTCTTCCTGTTCTCTCGTTATTGAGTCTTACCCCAGGCAACTATGGATATCCACTATTAATGCTGGTGCTTCTTGTGTCTCAACACCTCCTGACATCTGATGTCTGCTTCTCCAATTCATTTTATGGTTGTTCTTCATAACGGTCTTCTCTTCTTTAGGTGGATTTTGAAGGGTTGGGACTGGTTGCTCACAGCAGTCTTAAACTCACTGTTAGCATCTTGAATGTATGTCTCATGTCAGAAACCGGTTCGGGAGTAATATTCATGAAAATTAATAAATATGACCAGTCTAAGTGAAAATTTATGCAAGTTCTGAAGTATCGTTAACATGATAAATCATCTGGTGAAATAGTGAAACATGCTGAAATGTTTAGAGAATTCAGGTCATCCAGCAGATTTGATGTATAAAAACCTGGATATGATAAATGACTTAAGTCAAAAAGGGGCAGATTAAGTACGGAGTACTGCAACTAATTCTTTTAGTAGTTAATTGTTTAGCAAATTTCACTGAGGTATGCAAATGCTAATAAAGCCTGTTAATGGACCATATTAGCTAATCATAGCTACGGTGGATAAGTTATTAGTACCGATAGAACTAGTAAGGTGACTATAAATAGTAATCTATACATATGAGCACTAATCGATAGACTAACAGAAAAATGGGTTACCATAAATAATGATCAGTCGTTAGAGTCAAGGATAATGTAGGAATTATCAACGGGTTGAGTTTCTTTGGTTGGTCCCTCTTATATTAGGTTTCGGTCTACGTTGGTATTAGTGCACTTATCCATGCTGTCAGAATGATAGATCCGATAACCAACTTTTATGTTTTCCATCATGTAACTGTAGAATTATGATCTACTTCGTTATTAGCACTGCTCTAAAAGATGTAATCCTAAAATTGTAGATTTATCATGATGTGACTACCTAATCTATAAGCTCTTACGTGAAAGTCACATCGCTGTCTACAATTACTTGTTGTATAGTGACAGTTAGCAATAGGATGCTTTTAAAGAACGCATTTAGGCTGAAGATAGAACAACATATTTAAAATGAATAAACACAGGTTGTACGGAATGATCCATGTCTTTCGACAGAATTCACTTGAATTTTGACGCGTTCTCCATTGTTAACCTTCTCTTTGTATCAACTGTTGAAAATAAATATTTTCAGTAATTATATGCTCTACTTCAAAAGTCGTGCGTTTATGGTTCAATGCCATTACATAACTACCTAATCTGTTATGTAGCGGCTACTAGTAGGATGTCAATTTAGAGGAAGCATACTACTATTACTGGACGAATACTGGAAATTTAGAATTACTGGGTTATTGTCATTTATATTTTATAGCAAAATAAGTAAATAAACCTATAGTTTCATCTCTTTATTCACTTTGCTGTAAGCTTTCAGAGGAACTATCAATTGACAATATATGACTTACTATCTTTTGGTTGTTTCCGTTTAATTATACGCTGTCTGCTCCTTCTTATACCAATTATGGTGTTATTGTGGTCTACTGACGAAAGTTAATAATCCGAGTTCTGATGAAGCTGCACATCACATGATATCGACTGACATTTCAAGTCATGATAAAATAGCGTGTAGAACTAATGAAATTTCACCGAGCCTTAGCCAAATCGTCCGACGGTTGGGTCACTGAATATCGAAAAAATCATCGACCCCTGTCAAAGTCAAGGACAACCAAGGCTCATCAATTAATTGTATGCCAAGGACTGGCCCATGCGATGATAGTTTCACTAACTCCAGTATGCCCTCAATCATTCGAGATAGATTATCTAACTTGATGGCTAGCATGTCGAAAAGTACATGATTCAGGCCGACCAGTTGCTGCAATGGTTGTATAGCACGGTGTCTCCAATCGTGGTTTGGTGTTGATGTTTGACCGAGCTCCTCCACCTAGTGTGTGCCCAGCAAAGCTCGTGAAGTAAAAACTAGTGTTGAATACTTAGAGAACTATTTAGTCTGAGGAATTCGCCTAGCGCAAAACTGGAAAAGAAAGCCGATTACTACTGACATCACACGACGAATGATAAAGAGTTCTCGTTCCGATTCGCGTGAAATAGCAATAAAATATCACAGCAAAACTCGGAAAATCGATGCTAAGAAAATGCCAGATCACCTTCCGTATTGTGAGAAATTTGGTAGAATCAAACTTCTATCAAACACTATTGTAATGTATTAGTGTTGGTTCTTACACCATATGTTCTAAATTGTCCACTCATCAGTTGGTGTCCTTCAATGCTTATCACTTTACCGATCCCATATTTTAACCTTTTTTGAGAGGCATTCATAATTATCTTCACAAACACATTTGTATTGGTATATTCGGTTATTTCTATCAATCTAATGTATTTTTCTCCTAATTATCTGTCTTTTCACTGGGTAAAAGTACCCCAATCATGAGTTCAGACCTATATGTAACTTAGAAAAGTGTGGGATATTTATCTGGAGAATATTCGTGTGTCACTCAGCAGAACTAATATCAAAACTAATAATGATGAATAAAGAACTAAATGAAGTAATGAGGTTCAGAAATGTAATATTCTCAAGGCGATCCAAAAATCACAGGAACAACGAACTCTCCTGATATTTTCTTCGATTAAGCAATGTAATGATGACACTGTATCATAATCCAATGGCAATGGAAGGTAATCTAATATGCCAAGTAGTCTCAAGGTCGCACATTGTATGGAGCGCTCGTCCGTGGAAAGATTGTATTTCTGAACAATCAGTTCACCAAACATAATATGAAAAAAACTAATTTTAGGACGTTTTTCAGTGTTCGTTCATGGAAGACTGGTACAGTCTAACCTTAGTATAAGTTGAGCTAATGTTAACTCAAACTGCAGCCTCAAGGTCACGTCGTGAATTCGAACCTGGGGTACGTAATTAACGTGAAGGGGAAGGACAGCATGGAGGCTTCTATGGGCTAAGAGACTAGCCGTACGAAGACATTTAGCTATCTCCAACGTTTCTTTACATATCTGTGCGAACAAAATGGGAAAATACTAGAGAACTTAAACCCAATAGATGACATAGCATATCAATGTTTCGTTTTTCCACCTACAATGTATATAATGGGATTTTTCGCTTTAATGAGTCCTTGCAAATTTTTCCTAACTTAAAACCTACATTTACGTCGATTATTTGACGTCTAATAAAGTCTTTATCAGATAAAACGACTTTTAAAAGGTGTGGAATCCCCCCCCGGTTTATGATAATCAAGTGTTTCATGCGCGAAAGATGCCTAATTACAAAAGTTTGATTGAAATCAACAAAGTACTAACAGTACTAAGGTGTCAGTCATACGTCTTCGTTGCGACTAACGTGTACGGATATCAAACTAGATGACATTAAGAACGTCTTCCATTAATGCATATCTACTCCTGTATGTTTCATTTGTTTCAACGCAGCGCGTATGAGTGCTAACATTAAAGTAGGTGTGAAGATGGATTTATTCGTCAAGCGAATAGTGGTAGCACCATTTGAGTATAGAACTGCTTTAGGTGACTTAACAGGTGTTTCAGCAGTATCATTATTTTCTAGGGATATGTTCCGAAATAATACTGGATATAAATCCGTCACTCGGAAATATGAGGAAAATAGTAAAGTAGGGCGGAAAGCGTTTTTATAGGAACCTAAAAAAAGTGGTGCATGTAACTCCACAACATTTGACTTCTGGAAACTTTATGTAGTCAAAGAAACTTTCGGGTGCTACCACAGACCCAAAGTTATTTTCATGGATTCTTGCAGTGGTATCTGCAACCTGTTGCTTGTGCTCTTCAGCGACAATGATAACCTAATCTTCTTAGGTACTTTTAAGTTCTGTCATCAACGTAGATCAGCATCCCTGGTTGGACATACTACCTGATAGTAAGTATCAAATTTGGTGCCCAACTTAACCCTCTTCACAACTTCAAACGACGTTTAAGTTCAGTATAATGTTAGAACATCTTTCGGCGATAATAATACTTTTGTACTGCCGAAACATCCGTTACTTCATTTAAACCAGCTATATGCTTGAATTGTGCTTTCATTACCCGCTTGACAACAGTCAGCACTGTTTGCGTCAATGTTCATCTCGAACAATTAAGGAAAGTACACGTTTGTACTGTTTTGTGTCGTTCGCATTTATAACACCGAAAGGCTAGACCACCTCAGTAGTTGCCATATTATCTAGAAGTCCTTTCCCTTCAATAATAACTGAAAATGTATTATGAGGTTTTCGTTGACATCCACAGTCAAACTATCGTAAGCATACATCTTTGGTTCAGATATGCTCCGTCGTCAAGATATTCCCGAACGTATTAAACGACTTGTTTATATAAACATTACACTATATATAACTGCATATGAAGTTCTGTTCCCATTAACATATTATCTCGCAAGTCACATTACACTCTCTTCTAAAAAATACAAATAATTTAAGGAACATTTATTCAAATAGACGGTTAGATATCTAGATTATTTCGAAATTAACCACGTGCCAAGTAGGTTAATAAGTTGTAAATATCACTTAGATAAAAGTAAAAATGAAGGTAGTTTAGTGAAATAATAGGGACTACTTTTTAACACTGTCTATTATACTCAAGATATATTGTTACTTCTAATAGTCTGATGATGTCTGTTCAGGGTTTTTAAATATCTGGATGATAGAATGCTAGGGTTTATGCATTTCCGATGGTTGCTTTGACATAAGGATTTTACTAGCGGGTTGATAAACGATTATGATTTTGCAAAAGTTAATCTATAATTGTCTAGGGAACTTACAGTTTGTTCATGTAGTTTAATTTTCTATGTGGATGTCTATCTGTATTCCAACTGTAGTATTACTTCATTCTTTGATCCTCTCGAACCATGTTTTTTCTATTTCTATTTGAACTAAAATTATTTTTAATCTTTGATTTGCTTACTGTAGATAATTGTTCGTTTTGTTAATAACATTTGTGACAGTTGTGATCACAAGATCACTTACCTTTATGACTGATCGCATAATAATCAATTACACATTCTGATTATTTGTAAAGATTTGTATACTCCTGTGGTTGATTTTAAAAATTGCAATTATTCATATGCATTGATCAAGTTAGTGGTTATTTGTACTCAGTAACTCAGTGAATAATAAATTGACGTTTAAAGCGATAGATCCTATTGTGAACATTAACTCGGGTAAAGGTACTTCACCAATTAACCAGTCCTACGTAATAGGAGTCACTCATTTAGTATTTCACTGTTAGCTACAATTAAAATAACTTTAAACATATTTTGTTAGGCTTAACTGTTACTTCAATAGTTATTATTTTCACTAGTCTTCCATTGTCTCAATATAAATTTCATTACTTGATTTGGTGACTTATGACGTAACAGTTTAAGCCAAAGCATATTCGTCCAAGATTTTCACATTATCTACGAGTGATTGATTTCTGATATTTATTCAAATTTGTACAGATTGAGTGAAAACTTTTTGAACTATTTAAACATTGATCTACCATTCTATATCCCAGTGTTTTATCTTAATTTAGTTGGTTTTCTTTCCGATAAGGTTCCTCATATAACTTGTTGGATGATTTAACTGTGAATATGTCGAACTCTATGCTGACATTAGATCCAAACTGTACAGTATTTCTCATGTGTGATGTACAAAAAAGCTTATTAAACACTGTTATCGACTCGGATAATGTTCATTTGCGTATATCTCACATTGTAAGTTAATTTTTATAATTATAAATAATAATATGTTCAATTATAGTTACAATTAGGCAAAGCATTGGGTATCCCATTGTTAGTTACTGAACAGGTTTGATGATTTTTTATTGTCAGTCATATTCATGTTGCCTTTTTTGTTTTATTCACTACTAGTATTCTAAAGGTCTAGGTAAGACGTCAGATTCTCTCGATATATCACATGCATTATGTGTGGTTGATAAAACTTCTTTTTCTATGTATCACGGATTAATCGCTGAGAAACTAGCTGAGTTTCGTGATCGTTTCATTGTTTTATTTGGACTTGAAGTAAGTGTTACATGTTTGTTCCATGAATTAATATTATTAATATTGAGTTAAATGTATACTTATACCAGTGTTAAGTGAGGCATTCCGGTTGTATCGTTAGCCATCACATTTAAAGTGTCGTTCCTACTCAAGGATCTAGTAAATGGATCAATTCAATTTCATTGTGATTAGCCCTCAAATGTCCTGCTGTGGCTGAGGGTGGGAAGAGTTCGCTCTCACTTTCTAAATGTTCTCATATACGCACTACCAGAGAATTCCTGTTTACTACCTCGCCCAAGGTTGTTGTTTACGTAATCTATGGGTCGAGAGGCGAACGTCTAATGCTTAAACCGGGTTGGTGGATAAAGAGGATCTACCTTGGGGAGTTCGGAAACCCTGGTTCTAGACCAGTGGTTCACATGGGCTCCAGGATCCTGAAGAAACAAATAGCGTATGAACCTATTGTTGATCACTGACTACCATGTGACCGCATCTCATAACGTTGCTCAACTCTCTAGTGCATCAGATTTGTCGATTAGTCGACTTTCATGCATAAGATTACTAGTTAAAATTTCTCGTGTAATTCAACTCCGATAGCTGAATTATTATCATTAGCTGTTATACAAAAAGATGTATAACTTAAAGCTAATTAAATAAACTTTTAAGTGGTCACAAAGTTGCATTAATTGTCAGATTTTAACAGTCTGTTTTATTTTTTCCTCATATATACATCACTCTACAAACGTTTTTCTTATTTCTCTAAGGCACATATATGTATTTTACAAACTGCTCTGCACTTATTGTCTGAAAATTATAAGGTTGTTATCGTAGCCGATGCATGCAGTTCTCGTAGTGCTGTTGATATGAGAATTGCTCTACAAGTGAGTTATTATATAGCATAAGAATAACATGCTAGTGTATAGTATTCATTTTTATTGTCTTTCAAAATAAAAACGGAGCATTTACGAGGACAAGCCTAAAATCATTTACATATTAGCTGAATATCTATTTTCTCATTGAATCATCAACGTGTGAAATTACTTACGTGAATATGTGGTTGGAGCTCTATATTTCGACGCATTCAAAAGAGAGTCGGATCAACTGAGAGATCCTCCGCTAGAACTAACACAGGTCACCAAACCTCCTGTCCTTCCTAAGCTAAAACTGTTTCTCATTAACATCAAGTTTGTATTACTGGCAAAACTAACTTGCAGATAACTTATGTACCAAAAAAATATAAATGGTAACTCAGTGGTTGGAAGTTTAAGCTCTCAACAGAATGCTTGAAAGTCTTGGGTACCATCCGTGGCAGGGTCATTCCATAGGACGAGACAGTTGTCTAGTGTTTCCTGATTTTAATTGGTTGTCTAACCAAGGTTGATTTGTGATTTGAAGCTTTAAATTTAATAATCTACACTATACCCTATAGTAAGTTATTATTATTTGTATGGCATAGGTTTAATGCCGATTATAAAACTTATATCGTATTATTGTCAAGTTATGGTGTGAGGGGCTAAATTGTAGAAAATAATTGAATTTTATATTCAGTGTTTTTGGCGAACAGTTTGTTCTGGCACGGCCGAGAGTGAGGATAGTCAGTTCTCCCTCTCCAAATGCTCTCAAGTAGCTATGTGGATACAACCACTGCCAGGGAAGTCCTACTCACTGCCTTCTCATGGTGAGGGTGTTGTTTACGAAATTGAGAGGACGAAAAGCGAATATCTGGCGCTTTAACCGGGTTAGTAGATACGGAGGATCCATCTAAAGCAATTGGAAAGTCCTAATCCTAAACCAACGGTATACATGGGCTTCAGGATCCTGAGGGAACAAATGGCGTATGGACCAATCGTTGGTCACTGGTTACCATGGGACTGCATCTCCTGACGTTTCTCCACTGCCTTGTGGACTAGACCTTTAGGTCAAAGGTTTCGGATGTGGCCCCCTAATAAAACCACCTGCCTCGGTTTGGGCACCCGGACAGTATCCCAGCTCTCACACAAACCAAGTGACTTGTGTGGCGCATATGTATTTGGTGCCTCTTTGTACGAATGTTTGTGTCTAAATAAAAATAAATAGGGTTGATTAACTAATTTGATTAAAAACCAAACTTGTGGCCTAAATTAAAAATGTATTGACCTTTTGGTTAATCATCAACTAGTTCGTTAAGTTAATGTGACTGAGTTACAGAATCTGAATAGTATATGGTCGTGATTGTTTAGGTTGTAAATATATACATATTTGCGGATGTATGAGGCTGTTCAAAATGGACTAGAATTATACGTTGTTTTCATCAAATATCGATCTCAGTTGGAGTACCTTTGAAAACTAGGGAAGGCTGCGCAGGTATTTCATCTTAGTGTAGGACTTCTCAGCAATCCATGCCTACAACTTCAACAGGGATATGACACGAAACTTTCGGTACTTGTAACGAACCACTGGGATAGCTAGCATTTAAGTGATACAGTTTCAGCATCAATTAGCGATATAGTCCGATGATCATTTAATGCCATTGGTAATAACAATTTCGCTCCCAACATGGAGGTCAATTATATCCGGAATAAAGTAGCTATCCATTACTCTCTTGTTTGTTTTTTAAAGTACCTCAATTGGGATCAGTTTGTATTAAATACAAACTTACAAATTAAATCAATCATTACAAATCCCTTTCAGCTGTTGTAATAAAATTATTCTATTCTCAATCTGTTTCTTTATTTAATAGCGTTTAAATTCTACTGGTATAATACTATCAACAACTGAATCATTGTTATTTGAACTAATTAAAACAAAAGATTCACCATATTTTAATTTAGTTAAAAGTATAGTACGCACACATTTACCAGATCATCCTGCATTGATCAATTATTGAATTCATTAAGATCCATATCCGTTCTCTTCTTCTTCTTCTTCTTCGAAAGATTCATCCTCTAAAAAATCCAAATTCTGTATGATTTTATATTTGAAATTAGAATACAACATATTTTCCATGAATTATTTGTTGATATATTTATACTCTGTGAAGGATTACTACCTGGTTGGGATCCACAAGACGATAGCGACTGATGGTTATAGACCTTGAATGATTTGGCTCAAAATCGTTTGCAATAATGCAGGTGCATCCACTCTTTGTTTTTTCGCGAATTCTAATCTTTTGAATTCTTTTACTTTTACTACCTCTATCACTATGGGATTTGAATAGACAATGGTATCTCTGTGTTGATGTGGTATGGCAACTCGAACTGATGTATGTACATACAAAGTTCTACGTTGTTGCTGGCTGACTATTGTGGTTTATGCTACTGATGTCAACAGATATATGTAGTATGTATCGAATGTAAAATGTCTAGTAGCAGAAAGTTAAGAAGATCAAAGTAAAAAAAGAACAGAAACAAAGCATGACTAGTGTGGAAACGAAAGAACAATGAATTCTGAGACGATTGATTAGCATTTTGCAAATGAAGTATTTACTGTATGGTTCTCAGATTTGACTAAGATGTTCTATAATTCTGTGTTCAAATACATTCGATTGTCCTCATTTGTGTTCTCCTTTATTACACTATCACTTATCTAGAATTTCTAATAAGTATAACTCTGAAAGATAAGTCATGTTGAATTAAACAATTAGAAATGTTCATACTGAATAGTTCACTGGATAGTTTATAACATATGTGAGTTCGATCTATTAAGGTTATCATAAAAGTGTATATTGGTTCTGGAAATGTGTTCAGGTTCCTAATGAGTGATTGATTAGTATTGATTCATGCCACCTTAAAGTATGAGTATCCTACATGTCTATTAAACCTTTTATACTGATGTTTTGTGTTGATCTGATACTGCTCCAAGTGTAACCCTATCATTGAGTATCAAAAAGTGAGTATATAATTTTGCTTTTCTGCTATGCCTGTTAGTGATGCTAGATCCCCATAAATCTCTTGGTAAACGTCTTGTTTTTATAATTTTGGAGGTTTGAATTTCTCGTTTTCGTGCCAAAAGGACAATAAATGTCATTGGTTCGTTGCCTCTTTTTATACGCTATTTTGTGACGTTTCCCAAGGACCTCTTTATACTATATATATACGCTTGAGTTGTGTGCTTGATTTGTTCATGCTTCTGGCTGCTTGTGGAATATACTTTTCTCTCTTCCGAATCCGGTTTTCTTCCTCTAGTTAGTAGGGCTACGGTACATCGGAATAATTTAGCTTATCCTGTTATTGTGATGCAGGCCTTCGTACCTTCGCCGTTTTTTAGGTGATATCGCAGTCTCTTCAAACATAGCAACGCCTTTTTGTTGTTCTGCGCTTTACCTACTTAACTGTACTCGAGTCCCACAAAAAACTGTCAATAGTGTGGACAATGTATAGTCAAGTTTTTTTAGGATTTCTTTATCTTATACTGCTTAAGCGTTCGTACACAGTGATATTTAGTAATATATTAACTAGACCTTCGGTGTTGATTATTGGACTTTGTCAGTTACAAATCCAAGCATGCGTTAATATGTCTCACATAAGTAAAGTACACACTAGATTGCTTTCTTTCAATGTGTTTTGAAACTAGATGTTAGTGTGAGCTAGTCTTTGAAAAGGGATGTCTCAAGTGTGAAACATCTGTCGAAAATCGTGAAGCGTGTGTGCACATTCTTGAGGAAACTATATGTTGTCATCAATTTCATCCATATCATTCAAACCATTTTGGTTCAGTGAGTCAATCAATGTAGGAGAGTCTACCAACTTAGAAGCATATTTCTAGTAATGTAGACTAGAAATGTGAACACTCATGATTAAGATTGTTTATTGTCAACTCGTCGAATGTATATTCCTTCAATGAATCATGAGCTAGTCAGTGTTAGACCTCTACTGAGAACGCAGTAAATTGTTGTTTCAGTTTATTTTATTCCTAACGAAAATGTTTACTCGTTTCTCAACCGAAAGTCATCTATTTGAATCTCTCTTCATCTACATCGGGTTAAGGAGCCGAATAATATCAATTACTGTCACAGAAACAGTGTCTTAAAGCTTAGTATGTCTAAATCTGTACTTAATATACAAATTATACAGAATTGTAGCCATCTTGAAGATAGTTTAAATCTGTTATGTCTCAGTTAATAACACCGTTGAATATTTTAGACAGCTAATTAAAATAACTGGTTCGCAGAGGAGTTCGATGATGCACTTTGCACGACAACACACTCTACCAGCCTAACTAATAAGATGGCAGGATGATCGTGGAAAACAGTACTAGTAGTTAATTCATTCGTGGTATAATGGAGGTGACTTGAGAATAGATTGTATTCATAAACTTCACGATAGATTTCCAGAAGTCCCAAAGTGAAGTTGTTCTGTGTGTAGTCAACTATGTCAGGATAAAAATAGTAGCTCGTCGATGAGACTATACAAGTCGAATATACGGATCAAAGGCACTCAACGTTTTGGATTCGATCTCATGTTCAGTTATTGATGCAGTTTTGTGAATGTTGAAGTACCTGATCAATCCTATCAGACTCAACTATCTGACGTAGGCTAGGAAAGAAATTGCACTAATGTTTTTATACTACTTAAAGTAGATAAATTCGGAACTAACATTTTCATTCACTTGTTTTCATTGTTTCGTTTCTGAAAATCCATTACCTGTTCATATTATCCACTGTATTACTGGATGAGATACACATTCATATGTATGGTATCGTTTTTCAGTACTGTATACTAAAAAGCCATTTTGTGTTGTGTCAGTTATTTTTCTATGGGTACACACGAAATATACGTTGATATTTCAATAGTTGAGATCATGAGTGAATTGAAGCTAGACCACCATGGGTAAGCTCGAAGCTCAATTTCGTGGATTATTTGAAGTTAGACACTAACACCTTTGAGTTCCGTCTCAATGATCTAGTGGATAAGCGGTTGGCACGAGACTGATAGGTCCTGTGTTCGAATCTCGCGGGGCGGAGTCGTGGATGCGCACTGCTGAGTCCCACGATAGGACGAAACGGAAGTCCAGTGCTTCCAGATTTTCCATGTTGATCTAGCTTCAATTGACTCATAATCCTAACTATTGAAATTACTATAATATCCACAAAAACCCCTTCTGATACATTGATAGTGTCTGAAGTCATGTAAATGACTTTTGTACAAGTCAGTGGCTATCTGGAATCAGTAGCTAAATGAGTACCGCGTTGGAAGCAAATAATACTGGATTTGAGTTTCAGCATTAACACCAACACTGGGATGAATGTATGCCCAGTTGGGAAGTCCTAAATAAGATGTGACACTCATTCTGAGTTTCACTGTTAGCCACGATCAAAAATTTAATTGCAAAAACGTACCTGCCAAATAATTTATTCTTCACTGATTAGAATTACGCCAATATAACCTTTTTAAAATTAGCTAAACATGTTAGCTGCAAGAAGAAAACAAACGAAATACAAGAAGTATAAATCTATCGATACTTTGCAAGCATTGCTTCCCTTAATTTTGTTCAAAACTGATGAAGGAAACAAATTTCACTAAAAAGTCATTTCTTAACTAATTAATTTATTTATTTAAACACATAAACATTGGTACAAGGACGTACCAAACAGGTATGCGCCACATGAATCATTCGATTTGTGTGAAGGCTAGGATACTGCCCGGGTGCTCAAATTGAAGCACGTGGTTTTCTTGGGGGGGGCACACCCGGAGTCTTTGACCAAGAGGTCTGGTCCGCAAAGCAGTGAAGCAACGTAAGGAGTGCAGTCCTATGATATCCAGTGATCAACAGTAGGTTCATACGCCATTTGTTCCTTCAGGATCTTGGAGCCCATGTACACCATTCGTTCGGAATCAGGGTTTTCCAACTGCCCAAGATAAATCTTCCATATTTATCAGCCCCGTTTAAGCCCCATCGGACATTCGCTTTTCGTCCTCTCAATTTTGTAAACAACACCCGCGCCATGAGAAGGCAGTGAGTAGGATTTCTCCGGCATTGGTTTTATGCACATGACCATGTGAGAGTATTTCGAAAGGGAGAGCTGACTCTTCCCACTCTCGGCTGTACCAGGACGAAAAATGCAAGACTTACAGTATAACATGAATTCATTATATTTCGAGGCTTTTCACCAACTGTAAACAACGTCAATCTACATTAGTAATATCAATATGTAAAAAATTTTCATAACATACCTCAACCAATGAAGTTCGGTTCGAAATCAAAAGACGAAACAACATAATAACTAAGACTGATACGTATTCCTTATGTTGAAGATGAAGTTATTCAATGAAGGGGTTAAAGTTGTAAATGATAATAAACATAACATAAATAAAAACAAATTGTGAACAGATGAGCGATAATCAAGACACCTAGTTGACAACATAAATGTTATATATATAAAGAGAACACCACTCCTACTCCGATCTGCAGAGGTCATTCCCATCGATCGCTTTCAAAACTTACTTTTGTATACAGAATAGTGATGTCATAAACTTCTTGTTACCACAGTTAGATAGTTTGTATTATTTTAACGTTTGTAAATGAAATGATCTATTTATCGATTTTATTAATCAAATTTTATTGACGTTCATTTACGATGTTAACTTGATGAGTATGATGCCAATTAGGTGCCTTGATTATTGCTAAGTTATTTCTATTGATTGTCTCTTGATTATCATTTACAATTTCACCGCCCCCCCCCCGGTTATCATTTTTTTATGATTTTATCTTCAACATACACATACACTGATTAATCTTACCTATTATGTTAGCCATGTTGTTCCATCTGATTGCAAACTAAACCTCATTGATTATGGTGTGTAATTAAGACTTTTTACAATAATATTACTAATGTAACTTGCAGATGTAAAAGTGAGGATTGACAAAGTAAGGGCAGCACTTCTACAATTGAAGAATATATGGGACTCAAAACAACTGTTTGTCAACCAATATTGAAGTGAGAATCCCCAATATGACCGTCAAGGTAGTTCTATTGTACGGAGCTGAAACTTGGAGAACTACTACAATCATCATCAAAAAGGTACAAGTATTTATAAATAATTGTCTACGTATGATACTGAATGTCCGGATACCATCAGCAATAGCCTACTACGGGAGAGAATAAACCAACTTTCAGTTGAGGAGGAAACTATGGTAAGATGCTGGAAGTGGATAGGACATACATTATGAAAATCATCAAACTGCATCACGAGGGAAGCCGTAACTTGGAATCCTGAAGGGAAACCAAAGAAAGGAAGGCCGAAGAACATACTGTGTCAAGAATTGAAAGCAGACATGAAAAGGATGAATAGCAACTGGAAAGCATTGTTCAGGATAGAAAATTCAGGTGGGCGATCTATGACTCTCCACAAGTGGTAACAGGCCTAAGTAAGTAAGTACCAATGTAACTTCGGAACCGTTTGTATCTGGTGCAAAACTATGAATTCATGCTATTTTACAAATCTTGTTCTTCTCCGTTTATCTAAATTTATTAAGCGATCTGGATCTACGGAACTATATTTTAAATAAGTGAATACTTTCACTAAAAGTAATACATACAAGATTAATCCCCTTATTTCTTCACTCATATGTCACAAGTTTATATGACTGTCAACAAACTAATGACTTTAATTGAAATTTGAATTTTCAGCATTTAGTGGGGTAGCAATTGATGATGCTTACTTACGCCTGTTACTCCCAATGGGCCTACTACAAGGCCGCCAACTAGCATTCTCCAACCCACTCTATCCTGAGCCTTCCTTCTTAGTTCTATCCAATTGTTGTTCATTCTTCTCATGTCTGTCTCCATTTCTCGGCGTAATGTGTTCTGATGATGCTTATACTGAACAAAAATAGTATTACATTCATTTCAATTATTGACTTCAGTTATCATATCAATCTCAAATATCATCACATGGTCTGCATCTGTCCATACATCTCAGATCAATAGGCCATGATTCCATAATGTCGTATTCTAGTTTAAACAGTGCTAATGAGGTCAACTGTGTATGACTATTGGGATATTCAGAAAAATATCCCAAAAATTATCCTATAAGGTCCAATGCTATCCTTGGACCTGAAATGGTATCATTCTCCTGTTGTTCAGTTTTTATTTCACGTGTCATTTTTCTGTTGCACAAACGTTATTTTCTATTTTATGGTACGTTGTGGTCTGTCTGGTTGATAACATAAACCGAGTATGTTTGAAATATAACGATTCATATCTCAGAGGCTGAGACTTGCGTTCTGGACTTATCTGGCTGGGCTAGGCGGAAAGCAGGGTCAATCAGAACTCTAGGCTGCTCATACGGGTTTACGCGTCATTGATCCGATCGATAAGTCACTGCTCCATAATCAGCGGTCACAAGTTATAACAATGACGTTCCACTAACTCGTACTTGTAATGATTTTTTTCGGCCATCTAATTGGTCGTCATTAAAAAAAAAGTTTACTAACTTCATATGCTTCAAGGTTATTAACATGTTGTTCCTTTTCAATTATCAACTTTAGTTTGAAATATAAACCTATCCTGATAGTCATGTCGTTTCTATCTTATATTAGAGTGTATAGATTATTATTAACTTTAAAGTGTTATTGCTATTGTTGTTGTGTACCAGAAGTCTGATATATTCAACTTCTCATTCGTTGGATTATTAGTAAAGAAGAAAAAATCTCAATTGTTTATTATAAATACAATTTACCATAGGCTAACTACTACTGGAAACTCCGCTCCGCTCCCCTCCCCCTCAAAAAAGGTACCATTGTTTAATCAAGATAATAAATAACACAATCAAACAAAGTTCATAATATAATGTATTGAAGTATGTAATAAAACAAACATTATAGTAGAAACAAATCTTATGAATGATTTTCATTTAGTTTTAATTCTGTCAAGTTAATACATGATGATAATAAAAAGAAGAACAAGAAGAAAACGGGTTAAGAAAAGAACAAAAAACACATGATGAAACAAGTTTTTTTTTCGTTTTAATATGTGAAAAATACCATACAATCCATTTGATTTAACCAACAAACACACTAACCAATGCTAAATCATATTAAAAGCACTCATATATATAACGGACAGATTGAAACAGAGAAAAGTGGTAGTAGTCGTAGTAATCATGGTGAAGGTAAACAAAGTCGGTGATCATAATGAACAAGACCACAACAACTATGAGTATACAGAAGAAGACTACCACCCATACACCCATGAGTTAAAAATAGGAGAAGAAGAGATGATTGGCTCTTTCTTTATTTTCAATATAACAATGAATAAAAAAACGTAAAACAGAAAAGTACTCGTCATGTTATTATTAAACTGTGCATGAGCATGTGTGTGTGGGGGGGCGGGGGTGGGGTGTTTGTTTGTATGGATATATATGAGCATTTATCATTGGAAATAGATGAATTTTTGAATAAAAAAAACGGAAAACAAAACAATCTCGCAGCCATTAGTTAGTGACATATTAGTTGGTTAGTTAGTTAGTTTAATTTGGTTATTTATTCTTTACATGTAAAACTTAACAAAAACAATCACAATTAAAAGTTAAAAAAACGAACAAACAGGGAAAAACAACAACAAACATTGTGCATAGAGAGAAAAGAGAACAGAAGAGAGAGACAGAGAAAAAAATAAGATATCACTGGAGGTTTTAAAGGTGGATATGTGAGGACAGAATATGTCCGGTTACTTTTTTCTTTTCTTTTTTTTTATAAAAAAAAACTGTATCCATATTGATTAAACTGTGTTACAAGTATACTGATTAATATAAAAATTGCCTGTTCACTATTTTATTATAGTCTTCTTTCTCCCTTTCTTTCTTTCTTCAATTATGGCATTGCACCGAATCCTCCGGAACGTTCAAATACTCCTGCATTGGCCATTTCTAGTTTAGCTTTATGTAAACTTGCTCCAGATGATCGATAATATCTATGAACCTACGAAAATAAAAACAACACAAAATAGTATAGTGAAATAAGTGGGTTTGATTTTTAATGTATGAATCAATTGAAACTAGACCATTATGGAAAACCTGGAAGCACTAGATGGCTGTTTCATCCTAGTATAGGACTCCTAAGCAGTCCCATCTACATTCAATTGACTCATGATCTCAACTATTCAAATTACTATAATATCGACAAAAACCCCTACTAATATAAATTTATGTTGAAACTATTGTATATGGAAATTCCTAGGTTGGATCTACAAGTATTGTTAGAGATAATAAAGGTTGTTATTGTTAATTTTTGATAACTAACATAGTAAAGTAGCGGCCTATTGATTAAGGAATTCGACTCCCAGCCATTATATCCCTGAATCGAACTCCGCCTCGTCAACTTCAGTTTAGGCACCCAGATGGTACACTTGGAGTGTGACATATCCAAGTATCTGATCAACGAATTAACGTAATGTAATAAATAGTGAGAAGATATTTCACACTGAATGAGCTAAAAAAGAAACTGGTTTAGAAGTGGTCATGAAGACCTGAGACCAAAGAACCTAAAAGATCACACGGTCTTTTTGTAAACAAAACTAGATGTGTTGTCAGCTTCTCACTTTAAGAATGTTATTACCAGAAGGTAAGTTATGGTTCTTTTAGAATTAAACTTTTCTAACCTTATCCCACCGTTGTAAGCCAGTATAGCGACAAGAGTTGGTTGTCTGAGAGAAATACCTTACTGTTGTCTTACTTGTGTACACTCGATAGTACACATGTTCATCAACATCTTCAATATTAAAAACATCCTTGAAAGTCCTCAAAAATCAACTTCTTTAACTACCTTCTTTCAATTTATTCTTAACCTCAAATGTTACGCTATGATCTTGCGAACACATAGTTTTCCAATGAGAAGTAATCTCGACAGTGAATGTCAAAATCAAAATACACAAGAAGCTACACATAAGACGATCGAAATCACCAAACGATTATCATTAAAATACTTAAGTGACTGAGAATTTTGTTCTATTCAATGTGTTATTTTCAGAAAACAGACCTTAATATTTCATGTAATTCCTGAAAGTTTTTTTGTTTTCAACTTCCACTAACAAACTAAATATCTCAGTACATGTATTTATCGAATAGACATGCCCCCCTTCGTCTTCACTTGCATCAACATTCATTAACAAACAAACACCGTGACATCCTCGTTTGTAATCACTTCTTTATCATATTCATAACTGTAACTGACCAATCTCTCTTGCCGTATTTCTATTATGAATCCAGTGTCTCAATATAGTGTCAATGTGAGCATCAACACTGGCATACAGTTACATCTACTGACAGGTTCCAAATAGAATGAAACGCGAGTCTTTCACTAGACACTGCGAACAAAATACAAACTATACTAAGAACTAGTATTAACAACAATTCAAAATATGTAGCTAATAGTGGAAGATATAATTTGAAACCATTCATGCACCACCTTTGAAACAAACTTTTGAATTCTATCCTAGTTTGAAATTCATCAACATAGTACACCTATAATCTCACAGTAGATCATACTTGAAACCCCCAGCTTTCGTACACCCATTTTCTCAGCTTTAGTCAATTTACGATTATCAATAAGATCAAAAGATCTATAAACAGTTTAGTCGACAATAAATATGAAATGCTCAATAAATCTTCAAATGTATATTCGCTTCTACGTCTAACATAAAATATTGAGGAACTTTTACAGTTTAAACCACAAATAGGCTTAAATAGACCAACGTTTAAAATCTTCAAATACTGAACGACTGTTTCATCCTAGTATGGAACTTCTCAGGGACAGCACACATCCGCCACCTCGTATCCCACAACCGAACTCAGGAACATTGGTTTCACAAGCGAATGCTAAACCTCCAGATAACTGAGACTGTATCCAACGATTAAATCACAACACCGCATGATCCTCATCTATTGCCTACAATAAATTACTGTTTCAATATTCGACACAGTTGAACTTCATCGGTCATGGCTTTTCACCATAACTCTACTTTAGCATACATATTTATCGAATAGACATGAATATACAAACAAACATAAATTGAAAAGATTTCAGTTTGAACAACAACAACAGTAAAAAAAAGAAGAGAAAAACCATGATTAAAATTTACCTTAAATAACAGGAAACTACAAAATCCTGCAAGTATACTGAATATTGTAGCAATCAATAACATTAGAACACCAACACCATCATTACGAGTCATAGTTTTTATACCATTAATCCAACCACTGTATAATAACACATTCAAATTGTTTTATAGAAAGGTTATATAAAAGAGAAAAAGAAAATTATGTTTGTTTGTTTTAATATTTCAATTGTATTAATACAATGAGATAAATTATGCTTATTTAGAGAAGTTCAGTGGAACTGTAACTTATGGGCGATCTTTTGAGAGATGCCAAATTGACTTTGAAAATGTTCACCTAATAATAACCAAGACTAAATGAGGGTTATAAACCAGTGTGTGAGGAATTAGATTTAATGATTTCATCACGAACTAACATCAACTATAATATCAATACTCTATTTAACCAAATGGATGAGTGAATTTCGTGCCAAAATCTGAAACCTCTTATCTTATAGATGATTGATTCGTTCATAAATTCCGCTAAACTACTATTTTTGTAGTGATATAATCAATATTTTTATTTGATTTAACTTATTTACTAGGTAAACATTTGTATATTTGACTATGAGAGTTATACTTTCAATGTTTGAGGGCTAAGGGATGATATTATTACTTCAGTTACATAAACTGAGAAGTCAATAAAACAAGACTCGAACTTGGATGTCGAACACCTTAACTACTGAGACACTAATGCATAATAGAAATATGTTAAACCCATAAGACAAGTCCTTGAATCCAACTAATTTAATATAGATTTATTATGATTTGACGTATTGCTTTGGAGCTAGGGTATATGAGTTGTTTGATGTATGTCCTACTGCACAGGTGGGTTGGATGGATGAAAAGAAGCAGAAGTAGATATGTACTAAAAAAAATTATAAGACCCTGGTTATTTGATGTGTATTAGTGAAAGTAAATGTGACTGGTCAAGGGATGTGGAAAAACAGTCACACAGCTTATTGGCTATTCAATAGGTGATTGATTTACTGCTCCAGACTCATTGAGACTGACTGCTTGTAATAATATGGAGCAAAGTATTGTCCAGAGTTACTTTGGATTTCTATCTTGGTCATGAATCAAATATCTGATATAACGTGGTCTTGTCTGTGTATAACGGATCGTTCGCGTTTTCAATCTAGAAGTATTATTAAATTGACTATTTAGTCCAGTCTTATCGTAGTGGTGTAGTATACAGAAAGTAAGAAAAATGTTTAAAGTACATCCAGGAAAACATTATTCGAGTCATCTTCACGGTGAACAAAAACTTGCAAAAAGCAATCTGTTCATCTGCATAGCATTGAGTAAATCCTTGATATATATATATATATATATATATATATATTGCTGATCTAAAAACCCTAATTGCTATTTCATTGTCACTTGTCTTATCATTACGACCTGTCATTACGGTACAACCATCCTATTTCTAACTATATAAATTACTGTTGACAATATACTGATACTTGTTTTCTTCCATATTTTGAGTTGTTTAAAAGTGGTACAAACATAGTTTAGAGATGAGAATCGAGAATGCAACCTTTTAGGTTTTTGGGTGAAATTCAACTATCATGTATTACGACAAGTTGTGGAAATAGCTTTGTATAGTGCTCTGAAAGTTTAAAATAACCAACATACAAAAACGTTACTTTCAACAATATAGAGTGAAATCATGGTGTTAAACGTATCAAATGCTTAATTCTATCTTTGAAGAGAATCGACACTATCACTAAATCACAGCACTTAATCTTGAAATAAAACCTTAACCCGATAAGAATAAAGTCTACGAATCAACTAATTAGATAACGGCTGTTGGAACATTTTTGCGCAATATCCATTTATTCATATAGTTACACATCACTTGACATTAAGGTTAATATGAGTTCATGATTAAAAATCCTAATTCTAACAAAGAACAATGTGGAGAATTAAAAATCTCTTTTATTGATCTTTGTGAATGTTAGAGAACATAGATAATCTATATCCGTTTGGATAAATCTATATGTTATCAGAAGGGGTTTGTGGAGATTTTAGAAATTTCACAGGTTGAAATCATGAATCAATGATGGTCTAGTTGGTTAAGCGCCTGGCGCGAGACTGATGGGTCCTGGGTTCGAATTTCCCGGAGCGCGGGATCGTAGATGTGCACTGCTGAGGAGTCCCATACTGATACGAAACAGCCGTCCAGTGCTTCCAGGTTCTCTAGCTTCAATTGACTCATGATTTCAATCTGTGAAATCTGTATGTTGTTTTATTTTTTCGATTAGCAAACAGAGTAACCTATAGATGACTTTAAAAAAAGATTCACTAATTATTTAAAACCTATTTACACTATTGTTATCTTTTCCATAAATTATTCATCTAGAAAGTGGCTGGAAAAAATTTAAGGGTTGATTGAATTTCGTCTTTATACCCTATAATTTGGGATACATGTTCATGAATTTGCGATGTATCCGTTTTTTTTCTAATGTTCAACATGTATGAGGTATCAAGCCTTTCTTCTCTCGTCCAATAAGTACCGCGTGCAGGAGGCTAATTTTCACGGTAGATTTCATTTTATCAGAGGGGGGTATTGTGGAGATTTAAGCAATCTTAATATTTGAATTCATGAGTCAACTGAAGCTAGACCACCATGGGAAACCTGGATGGTCATTTCGTCCTAGTATGGAACTCCTCAGCAGTATTGTATCCACGACCCCGCTAAGCGAGATTCGAACTCAGGACCTATCAGTCTTGCGTGCGGAACATTAATGACAGGTATGAATAGCAGTAAATGATTGAAATGAAAATCAATATTCTTTTATGGAACAGCATTGACCTATTCAACTGACGGTATAATCTTTAAAAATGTTGGATAATTCTTGTTCAAACTGTTTATGGCTTTTACCTATTTGGTTAACGATTTTTGTGTGCAACTATATTTTGTTTTAATTATCGTTTACTTATAGTGATTTAAAGAATTTCATAAATGGAAGTGTCAAAAATATAGATTTTATAAAAATTAATTTATTATACTATTTGTACCCGTATTTAAACCGGTCCAGTTATTTTTTCTCAAGACGTTTTAATAACTTGTTTTCTATTGTTGTTGTTGTTATGAATTTTAATCGGAATATATATTCATTTGAGGAGGAAGCCGAAAAAAGGAAGTTTAGAGGTGAAAGTCGATGTAGGAGGAATAATAGAAAGTGAAGACGGAGGTTGATTATGAATACAGTGGTCTTGAGTGCTGTTAGAGGTATGAGAGCGGTTATCACTTCCCGATTGCCCACACCGTGGAAGGGTTGTTCTGGAGGTACCTGAAGAAAATTGGATTAGAGCTGGTCTTAGTGACCTGTGGGCGTGACCGCAGTGCCCAAGGGGCAACTGCTTTAGGTCGGTCACACACGACCTTTATATGGGTAATTTTCCTGTTAGCTCCGTACTTTTTGGGACCTTACCGCCGGAGACGGATATCCGTGGGATAAGGCGAGGTGTGCATTTTTAGGGTCGACCATTTCTAACCCCACCCCTCCTTGTGGGAAGGCAGCATCGCTGTCATGCTGGTTGTCTGAAGGAAACACCTTACTGCTGTCACACCACTGTACAGTCAGCAGTACGACTTCGCCTTCGGACCTTGGGTTTGTTGCATTTAGTCTTACCGCTCTTCAACCGACTTTTCTGACGTGGTAGGACCTTGAGAAACAGTTGTTCCAGTCAGTATAGCTCAGTTGCTCCATCACGATAGGCAAGCCCGACCACCACGTCAACGTAGCAACAACGGTCGAGGGAATATGTATTTTTATTGATTAGTAGTACTATTTGAGTTCTGAATTAATTGAATCTAGTTCTCAAGTTTCCTCAAGTTATTTCACTCGACCTACATAATACTATATACATTCATCATGTGACTGACTATGCAACATCCTATGTATTGAGTCTGATTGATTAATGCATTTTATACACTACCGATGAATGTTATGTACTGTTTATCATGACGAATGAATTAGTTAAGATACAGAGAAAGAGAGAGAGATAAAAGATTATCGGAACTAACCAAAAACTTAAACTTTCTCACACGGTTGCACAAAACTACAATGTTAAATTGACAGCCTTCATTTTGATCAACAATAGTTAATGCTATAAAAATGTTTCGTTTCCCATCAAAATCAAAGAGAAATACACAAACCTTACTTTACATATGGATTAACAATTAGTGGTGTGGTGTATGCTACTTGTGTTGACAGATATAAGTAGTATGTAATACCAAACAGAAGTGGAATGCAAGGCAGAAGATTGAGATCAAATTCAAGAAAAAGATAAAACACAAGAAGAACGAATTAGTTCGTAGAAATAAAGATAGAAAGTAATTCTAATCTCATGGTTTAGAGGGAAGACAAATAGTGTATACACTTACACCATTGTAATCGATTCGGAACCACGTCACACACAGTCTCCAACCATTGGTTACGATAGTCACACGGACACCAAACAAGTAGTCTGTGTCTGCCAACATTCCTAAGATCAGAAGTTAGTGACTTCAATGACTGATGCCACGTCTTCGTTTGGCCGTCTCTAACTTTCTCCCAACCATCTCCAACACTTGTCAGCATTGCGCGTCATGGTAAATGGTGTTCAGGCATACGTAACACGTGGCCCAACCATCTCAGTCGATGAAGATTAACAACCTCATCAACTGATTCACCATCATTCCCTAACACCCTGCGTCTAACCTCACCATTACTTACCCGGTGATCCCAGCAGATGCAAGCAATATTTCTAAGGCATCTGTGGTCAAATACTAGTAGCTTACGAGTATCTTCTACTGTAAATGGCCACATTTCGCAGCCGTAAAGTAGAATAGAACGAACTGCCGCGCAGTATACTCGGTCCTTTTATTGATAGACAGATATCTCGCCTTCGCTATAGGTGACGTAAGTTGGCAAAAGCCAAACGAGCTTTTCGAATCCGTGCTGAGATTTCGTCGGACACCAACCCATTAGGGCTGATCAGACTTCCAAGGTGAGTAATCGACGTCTCTCTTCAATTCCAATTATTCCTCCTACATTGGAAGATATGTAAATGATGCATTGAATGTGTGGATTTCATATTTTACTCAAACAATCTGTGATTTTGCATTAAACAAGAAATTGGTCTTCCCCATATGAATCTTCGTTCACTAAAGTAGTAATCCCATAAAAGTGATAAACATATGATAAGTGTACAGAATTTCCAATTCTATTAACTAATTAAACGATTTATAATGAACATATGTTTCGTACACTGACTAAGATATGTATGATTCATTGAAAATATGACAGTTAGGTATAGAGGTGTGATATTTACAACCTTGTTTAGGGTAACAAGTTCAACACAACCGATAATAACTTCAAGGTTACGCAATACCAACGTTGTTATGGTACTATTAATCTAGTCTAGTCTACTTAAACTTACAAAAACAGTTTCTAATACTCTAGGAAAGAGAGAGAGAGAGAAAGAGTAGAAAATAGACACATTGTCACTTGGTAAAAATAATAACTAGGACTGTTTACTAAATTTTCATTGATCACACACAGTTGATTGTTCGTTTCACACGATATCGATTTACGGTAACTCATATAAATATAACATAAAAAATTCCACAACAAAAAAACTGTCTAAAAAGGTCCCAACAGCAACAAAAAACAATAACAAGTCACTAATAAAAGAAATGTAAAACTATTATGATCAATAAAGGTGAAAGAATAAAGTTAGAAGGTATTTTATAAATTGTAGGCTTCATCTTATCAAATCGATTGGACTAATTAAGCAACAGGAGAAGAAGAAGGAGAGGAAAGGAAGAAGGATGGGAGGAGGAGGAGGAGGAAGAAGAAGAAAAGAAGGGGAGGAAAACTATGAGGAGAAAGAAGTAGAAGTATATAAATTGATTTATCTGGCAATAACAATTATATTAGTTGGATCAATAATGTATTGAATAAGTACAAAGTGCAGTTTTAATTACCATGATTCTGAGCAACGTACTCTTCATGTTTAATAAGGAAAAGGGTGTTTACAGCAAGTCTATGAGATAATTCTAAACAGAATAGGTACGTATTGACACTAATATTTTACTTTTAAAATAAAAACATGTATTCAAGCTTACCATGATCCAAGATAATCAATTCCAAGGCATTGTATTAAAATAATAACGGTTTGTCCAGAAAAGAAAAGGAAAAATAATAAATAATTCGCTGAACTATCTGATCTATTAAGGTAAACAAAGTGGAAATAAGAGAGAAAGATATATCAAAAGATGATTAGGTTTATATGAAAGTGAAAAGAAAACTTGTTCAACTTATAGTGATATATTACACTAACTACAAATTTGTATGTACTCAGCAATGAGTTATAACTTGAGATATGATAATTAATGACAGAAGTACGTCGAATAGGTTTATTTATTTATATATTTGAACACAAATATTGGTACAAAAGGGTAACGAATACATATGCGCTACACAAGTCACTTGGTTTGTATGTGGGCTGTGATACTGCCCGAGTTCTCAGACCGAAGCAGGTGGTTGTCTAAGAGGTCCAGACCCGGAGCCTCTGACCTAAAGGTCTGATTCATAAGGCAGTGAAGCAACGTAAGGAGATGTGGTCTCATGGTAACCGGTGACCAACAATTGGTTCATACGCCATATGTTCCCTCAGGATACTGGAGCCCATGTGCACCAGTGGTTTGTAATCAGGTTTTTCCAACTCCCCTAGATGGAACCTCCGTGTCCGCCAACCCGGTTAAAGCGCTTTTCGTCTTCCTAATTTCGTAAACAACATCCCAAACACGAGAAGGCAGTGTGTAAGACTTCCCTGGCAGTGGTTGTATACGCGTAGCCATGTGAGAGCATTTCGAGATTTTGACTTTCCCCCACCCTTGGTCGTACCAGGGCATTTCGGGGCTTGTGGAGGATGATATTATGTCAAGACCACATAGGTCATTCTAGCTTCTGGAAGACCCATTTGTTCATTCTTCTCAAGCCGCACTTTGACCTTGTCAGTTGTTTGTTTATTAATCCTGACCCTTTTTTATTTGATCGTATTTGTGCTAATTGCTCACCCTATTCAATACGTATCTGTACTTTATTTTTGTCTGGATATAAATATTGAGTTACGTTTGATCAACTCGAGTTGGCTCTTCGTTACATGTCATTTCGTTTTGTTTATCGAATTGTCTGTTTGGATCAATGAAAGTGAGAAATATACATATTCAAAATCCGTTCTCATATTTGGCGTATTTAGTTCCATTATTTCTATAGCGCGAATTGAGACGATAGAAATATACGAGGGTTCGAGGTATGTATATTTCGAAGACAATCATCGTATGATCTAACTGGTGTCAGATACATGGCCATTAAGAACTGACAGATTTATTAGCTGGAATCTAGATATATTAGAAGGACTACGTATTAGCCCCCAAATACCCTGGTACGGTCGAGAGTGGGGAGAGTCAGCTCTCGCTTTCGAAATGTTCTCACATAGCCACGTGCGCACAACCACCGCCAGGGAAGTCCTACTCAATCTTTTCGCGGCAGGGGTGTTGTTTATGAAATTGAGAGGACGAAAAGCGAAGCTTTAACCAGGCTGGAAGATATGGAGGATCCACCTAGGGGAGTTGGAAACCCCCGATTCCAAACCAATGGTGTACATACATGGGCTCCAGCATCCTGAAGGAAAAAATGACGTATGAACCTAATGTTGGTCACCGGTTACCATGAGACTGCATCTTCTTAGGTTGCTCCACTGTCTTGTGGACTAGACCTGTGGGTTGAAGGCTCCTGCTGTTACCCCCTAATAAAACCACCTGCTTCGGTTTGGTCACCCGGGCAGTATCCCAACCCTCACATAAGTCGAATGATTTATGTGGCATATACCTGTTTAGTGCCTCCGTGTACCAATGTGTTTAAATAATAAAAATAAATAACGTGTTGGGGAAATATAAAGTTATTTACTTAATTCAAACATACTAATTTACTAAGTCTTGAAATACATGATTGTTAATTGAAACTGAAGAACGCTCAGTTGGATTCGAATTTGTTTACTTCATTACCATAAATTACCTGGTAATATTCTTAATGAATAAATTAGAAAGTAAATAGATTTTGTTATGTCCGAATGAAGAATAAATGTGAATGGTAACTTGCAGGAATTATTTGTAAACTGTTATTATATGTTTCTTCTTATTGGTATGAATATTAAGTAACTAGACCATATATATTCGTATTCCTTTAACCATGATCTTTCATTTGACTTATTGGCTACTGCAATACGATTAACCATTCTTTGTTTATTCCCAGTTTATTAGTTACACTATCCCATACTCACAACCACTTTGGCTTGATCTTGTGTAATTATTAATTTTTATTTTATGATATGATGCGGTCTGATGTGTTTCTATATAAAACTACGTATGTCTGAAATATGTGATTCATACAGTGAAAGTTGATATCGTATTCTGAACTGAACAGCTAGGGCAAGGGAGAAGCTACTGTACAGAGGACCAATAAGGACTCAAAGTTGACTCGAGGCTGCTAGTACTGAATAACGCGTCATTAGTTTGGCACAGTGCCAAGGTCATATAAGTCGTGTTCTAATTGGCGATCCAGTCATATGATATTATGCATGTATGTATAAATCCTAATTTCTAAACTGATAAGGTTTAATATCTGTTAATACAATTTTAAATGAATCTACTAGAAAGTAGTTCAAATTTGACAATGAACTGATACATAGTTTTAAGTGGGGTTCTGTTCGCTGAGCTGAATAGAGCTTTGATTGGCCGTCTAACTAAGATCAGTTAGTAGTTTGAACTACGAAAATTCTGCGATTTCTAAAAATCTCCTCTACACTGATATTGAGAAATTTTTTTTGAAAAAAGGACAAACATTTACCTTAATGCTTTATACAAAGGTCGATGCCATCCGAAAAAGCTTATAGGTGGCATAACAAGCACTAATAAAATTGATGCACCAAACAATGGTCCTTCAGCTGCACCGTTACCAACAATAAAATAGCCTAGTGCTCCAAACATATTGAATATTAACAAGATAGCATAGCCCAACCAAATACCATAACCCATTTTCGCCATCCATCGACAATCGAATGGAATATCATTTTCAAAATCTTGTCGAACACATGGTTTGCATGGACAGAATGGAGGGAATGGTGGCCAATTATGTGGACCTACAAAATAAAAAGAATCTTTTTTTTAACAAGACAACTATTACATATGATTATTGTGGACAGTGGTAAATATACGAGTTTATATTTAGGAAAAAAATAGTAACCAGTCATAATCAATTTTAATTACTAGCATGAATGTACTGTTGAGCCTAAGGAAAGTATATTAAGCAAATATAGGAAATCGAACGACGAAGTTGTGAATCTTTACCAACTAAGGAGACTAGGGAATGGTGTTACGTATGTCTTGATACCTATATCGATATGAGGTACATATTAGTTTAAGCTATGTCAGTAACTGCAGACTTTCTGGTCAGCATTCTCACAATAACTGTGATCAATGATCTATATGCCTCAAAATAGGTCACAGTAGAGTAGATCAATTCACTTTTTATCGATATCTGATTACCAGTGTCCCTTCATGTATACCTTTTTTTATCCTTTCTTCTTGAACCATATTCTCAATGCTTAATCTTTCTCACTACCATTGATATTATAATTATTTTGACTGCTTAATTATGGCAGAACGTTGCTTTCATATTATTGTGTTAATGTAGGTACGGCAATTTAAACTGTGTGTTGATTATGACCGGTTGACAAAATATTCCATCTTATACTAATATGAACAGATAGGGAATTTCAATAGTTTAGATCATGAGTCAATTGAGGCTAGACCATCATGGAAAACCTGGAAGCACTGAACGGCCGTTTCGTCCTATTGTGGGACTTCTCAGGGAATTAACAAAATGAGAAGTAAGAGAGATTAATTTCAATTACAATGGGAATTTAAGCACGAGAATTTGACAGTCCACATGATGAAAAGTTGACTAAAAGTTTGTAGAAAGCTAAGTAGAATGAGTGCAATTGTGTCATGATAACAAATTTCGCGCTTTATCAGTCAAAGTTTCAAATTAAAGAGATTAAAAATTTTGTTAGGTGGGCCTCATATCCAGGAAGTTTGAACCTACCGAAATGGTTTAGATCAGTATTCTATGAACTGACGTGACATCTTGGGGTTGTGTAGAAGGTTTAGTTGTGAACAATGAATTAAGCATTGCGCAAGTGTTCATAGGGGTCCTCTTAATCATAACTGTCACGTTGACTGAGGATGGACGGACGGACAGACAGACAGATATTACTAACACACAGCCTGGCCTAAGTTGCCAGACCATATTAAGATGACGAGACAAAAATAGCAAGAGAAAAAATTAATGTAGTAGCGATGGTAAAAAGAAAGACTAAACCTTGGGGATATGGATTGAAAAAGATAGAATGAAAAGGTATTCATGCATGAATATTGGTGCGCAAAAACTAGAAGATAGGGAAAAAATTTATGTGCTTCCGTGTGATCAATTCTGAGCCATGTCACATTTCTCCAACCCCTGATCGCAATTATCACTTCGATCCCAACCAGGTAGTTTACATCTACGAATATGACACAAACGAACAATCAACAACTTCATGAACTGATGTCACGTTTTGATTCGGACACTTTTATCTTCCTTACAACCTACTTCTAAACGTATCGAGTGAAGATTCACTACTTCACTAACTGATTTGTCATCTTTATCAATTACCTCAACATGACTACTTATTCGATCATTTCACAAAATGTGAACAAAGGTACTTACGGTTGAAAAAAAACACAACCCATTAGCCTACAAATGTCTCACAGAATCAAACACTATTCATAGTTTAACAGATTAATCTTGGAATAACAGACAAAATGTACATTTTTAACTACAAAATGTATTTGTAATGTTTTCAATGAAATATATGTAACTTTTTTCTTGGTGTTGTTGTTCTCTCCATAATTTATTCACAAAAAACAAAACAAGAAGAAACCCAATTTAAATTATAAATAACTATCTAATTATAGAATATAAAATGAGTTGCTATATGAATAATGAAGCACACTTTTAATGTATAAAGTATCCATTTAAGTGATTATTAAAATGATTGACTAGAGTAGTGATGGTGGAGGAGGGGTGGAGAAGGAGGAAAGAGACAAGGGTAATGACGTAAACATAAAGATATTACATATATATATATAAGCATATGATTCAAACTATTTTAATTGTGTGCATTTTTTTGGTAAAAACATTTTGGAAAATGAAAAACAAACAAGCAAAACTTATGAAAATGGAATGTACCTTTTAAAAGATGTAAAACAAAGATGATAGACTATGAAGTTATTATTATTATTATTATGATTCTGAAATGAAATAAATGAATTAAACTGGAGACAACTAAAGAGAGAAAATCAATCAGAAGGGGTTGTTTTGTGGATAGTATAGTAATTTTAATAGTTAAGATTATGAGTCAATTGAAGCTAGACCACTATGGAAAACTTGGAAGCACTGGGTGGCCGTTTCGTTCTACTAGTATGGAACTCCTCAGCGATGTGCATCCATGATCCTGTCTCGCGAGATTCGAACACAGGACCTATCGGTCCCGTGCGTGAATGTATAACCTCTAGACGATTGAACAGGCATCCAGTGGTGTTATTGTCTAACTTCAACTAATCCACGAAATTGAGCAACACATCCACCATTGTTTTCAGTGAGTTACTATCTCATAAAAGACCAGGTTTAACTCCACTGGTCACTGTTTCTTACTAGAACTCTAGGAAATACCTCTTGAAGTCAGTCACTAGTAAGCATATGCTGATTAGTATCAGAAGGGGCTTTTCGGATATTATAGTAATTTCAATAGTTGCGATCATGATTCAATTGAAGCTAGACCACCATGGGAAACCTGGATACCATTACTAGTAAACGTTTCGACTTTTTACTGAAATTTGATTAGTCTTAGTTGAAATATGTGTATTTTGTGCGAATTATCTTAATAGAGCCATTATATCATATATATGTAGGGAACAGATGGATTGTAGTTAGAAGTGGAGTTTAACATGCAAGCTTTGTCCTGTCTTGAACTCTTCAGATGGATTCATTAGCTCAACAGATAATGTGTTGATGTTTGAAGCAAAACAATAGTATTCGGTTCGAGTTTCAGTGTGAATATCAACATTGAAATGTATGCACATCCAATCGACAAGTTTCAAACAGGACAAAACACGTATCCACCTCAAACCATAATCTATCTCTCTTCTAAAACTAGTAGAAAAAATATATAGTTCATCAACTGATACTATACATAGATGATACAACCTATTGAAAAGTGTTTAGATCAAAGTAGTTAACAAAATCAGACATTGTATATCGAGAAACTATTTTTTTCTCACAAACAAAACACAACGAGGAACAAATGTGATAACATAACTGCTGATATGTTTTAGGCAATAAATTATAGTTTATAACTTAAGGGATAGACTAATTCCATTATCATAATCATCCCTAGTTCTCCACATCAAAATCAACTGGTGTAATCTAGGGTTAAAGTTAATACCTTCACTACAAAATTCATTTCAACCTATCGAAAATAACTGATTAAGTCAATCGAAATCAGATTCGAATTCGAAGTAAGACCGTGTTAAAAACGCAAGTCAAACTCAACAATCTTCATGATACTTTATAGTTACACTCATGTGCTTATTAGTAACCAAATTCGAGAAGTAATCATCTGGGTTCTAGTGAGAAGTCATGATCAATGAAGTTTCAGCTAAGTCAGGGGGGGTGAGGCAATGGAAGATAGTCACGCAATATCATCACTTGACCGAAGTTACCAATGTTAAGCCATTAGGTGACAAATTAGTAATCAGGAGGTTAGGTGGTCGCTACAATGTCTAACGACTTTGGATTTGATCCCCGGTGGGGACTTGGACTGGTATTAATGAAGAAATAGCTATCTAGTGCCTCCTAGTTTTCAACGGTCGTTTAATAAAGATAATTCAGTTGTATGATACTTCATTATAGACTATTAGATATTTATGTAAATATCAAATTTATTTGAAAGCTCAACCTACAATCGATTAAATAAAGGCAAAATAGTAAGTAAAAGTAAATTTGTAAATTGTAAATAAAATAATACTGAGTATGTGAAGTTTTATGTTAGACAGAAAAGTTTGTGAGCCATTTTATGGGGGAACAGCATATGGATACAGACAATTACATATACATACATACATACACCTAAACCATTGTACACGAGCAGAACATGGAGCCTGGAGTAACATGGTAATACTGGAAAGTGGAATTCTCATTTCACATGATGAAAAAAAACACTACAGTGTGGTTGAAAGATACAAACAACAACTTAATTAGATAGAATAAGAAACATTTACTGTGTAGAAGTATATATACATATGTGTCAGTGTGTACATGTGAGTATGGTCTATGTGAAGAGGATAAAGACTAGTCATGATTATTATATCATTACTAAGTAGAAAATACGAGATCACATCAAAACAATACTACATACCAAACATTCTTTATATGCAATTTTTATTGATGATATGTACTGAGAATTTCATACTGCACTGAACAAATTATTATTGCTACTAAAATATAGGTAATTAAAGACGCGATTCATTTTATGGTAATGAGTAGGGGTGTCTTCGAAGCATTGATCGTATATCCTCGGACTACAGAGTAAGTAATGCAGTTGTTAGAAAACGGGTACTAGGTAAGGATGGAAAATCAATTGATGGAGTAATGGAACCTCATCAGTTGAGATGGCTGGGACATGTGTTACATATACCTAACCACCGACTGCCCCGACGAGCAATGTTTCATGGTGGAGTAGGTTGGAAAAAAGTTAGAGGCGGCCAGACCAAAACATGACACAAATCCATGAATTCACTGACAAGTGGACTGAGCCGTGTTGGTAGATGTAGACTACCTGGTTGGGATCCGTGAGATAATAGCAACCGGTGGTTAGAGACCTTAAGTGATATGGCTCAAAATCGTTTGTAATGGCGCAGGTGCATCCACTCTTTGTGTTCTCTTCCCAAATTTATTTCACTGCATTATACTCCTTGAATAACATCTTCAAATCCTAATCTACCGGATTACTGCTTACACTCTTACTACCTTTATCATTAT